AATGAAATGTGAGGAAATGCTGCCAGCATTAAAGGTACAATGCCACAGGGACCAAACTTTTAAAATTTGTTTTGATTTTCATTTTAATTATTTCTATTATTACTTTGTAGGTTAGGAAAATAATGTAAATACTGTACACTTGATTGTTAATAAAAAATAATATTAATTGCCATTATTAATTTTTTTTTACATAATCCAGACGAGCCTGCGGTACGCCCAAAAAGGGCAGTTATCGCAGCCCATAGACACCCATTTTTAGCGGGTGCGTTGCCGGCCTTTGAGGGAGAAGTACACTCGAATTTCGAACAGTTGGAGGTCGTGTCTCTCAGGGAAGACCCCCACCGGGAGTCGATTCCACAGTTCGCTAGTTCGCAAAAGAAAATGCCTTGTGAATCGGACTGTGGAAGACTTCCAAGGTAATGTTGGTGAAATTTAGGATTCAAACGGCTCGTACAGTGTTGAATTGAGACAGGAGGGATAATGAATGGATATTATGTTCGTAGAAGATTTTTTTTTGTTTCAGTAGTTAGTAACTATTGGTATCAACATTTTCAGAATTCACGTTTAATATGTAAAGGATGAAAATGTAACATTAACATAACAAATTTAAATACTGACTTCAGTAAAGAGTTCTGAAATAAACATGAGTTTATTGTTCCTGCATTTTTTTGAGGTGCACATCTGCACTCAGAAATAACGATGCAAAAGTTTAGGACGCATTTTGAACTCAGGCATACTTTGCATAAAACCTTAATAGTGAGTGTAAAGATATATAATAGATGATAGTAGATCAAAAATACAAAGGCGTCAAATTTTTCTAATGGAAGTATTTTATTTAGAACTTTACCGCTGTAGTTCGGGAGAATTTGATACTTAAAAATGTAAAAACATATTTTTTTTTTTTAAAGACAATTCACACCAATTGACCTAGTCCCATGCTAAGCTGGTGAAGCTTGTGTTATGGGTACTAGGCAACGGATATACATACATATTATAGATAGACATATAAATACATATTTAAACATCCAAGACCTAAGCACAACACCAAATGCTCATCGCATCGATGTTTATCTCAACCGGGGATCGAACCCGGGACCCATGTATAGTCCCCTGACTATACATGGGTCCCGGGTTCGATACTAACCACTAGACCAATGATATATTCGTTGGACTAAAATTTTCGGTTTAAATTTGTAACACTAACGTTAATTGTTTAGGTAAATGCGCGATCGTTCTTTATCTTAGCCACTGGAGACTGTCACACTGTTGATCAGTCAGTAGTTATACTAGTCGAGGATCCACCCTTTAGGTCTATAGGTAAAATGATTATAATTGGATAATTACGGTCTATACTTTTCAAAGGTCTTAATCATAAACGTAACATCAAGCTCATTAAATAAATACTTCTTATTTACTAGTCCACATATAACAAAAAAGAGCAGTTCAAATAGGCGTTAATTCCTATAGAAACTATACAAGTATAAAAATATATATGAGCGCTAGTCTAAAAATCGATGTTTCAAGTAATATGATAACAATAATGGTTCGATTTATGCAACTGGTAATAGCTTCCAAATAGAACATACACTTTGAATATTATTTTTTGAAACCGGAGTTATTAGCTAGTCTTTAAAAAAATCTGAAGGTTAATTGAGAATTTCAATTTCCAGCTGATTGAAAGGGTCTTAGAGATTTTATGAAAAATGAAGGCCTTTGGTTGATTGGATCTGAAATGAGTGCTAGATTTTTAAGATTTTAAATTTGCCTGAATAATTATAAACAAAGGCGAAATTTTAAAATATTTACTTTAAAAATGTTTATATGTTGGGGTTCAACCTTATTTATAAATTTGGTTTTTAAATAATCTTATTCATAAGCGGATATTAAATTTCAAAATGACCGTGTAGGGTGTTTCTACGGCCCAATTTATTATAAGATGTATACATTTGTGTTACTTTGTTCTAGATACATTAAAACTATTGTAGTTATTTTAAGGCTTAGCTTAAATGCACATATCACCGTAAAATTCAAAACACAGAATCTGAAATAACAATCTAGAGCGTGATGTGGCCTGTCTTAAAATTGTAATTTAATTTATTTTACTTTGTCTCCGATAGATCTATTGATAAATAATAACTAGGTCAGGTTACAGATGATACAATACTATATGATAAAAGCTTTAATAAAACTTAATCAAAAATGTATTATAGGATATGAAACAAAAAAATTAGAAATTATATTGATAGGGTATAAATCAATACCTCGTTATCTTTCAATTGCTTTTATTGTCCGTGCATCAAATAAAATTAAAAGCTTCCCAACAATTTACTCGTTTTGTATGAATACTATAATCACTTAATTTATTAACTGCTGTAATTTCAGTAATATTGTTTATTATTCCGTAATATATTACGTAAAGGATGTACGAAACGTTAAAATTTAAAATGTTATTCGACTAGTTTGTACGGAAGAATACATATGACAAAAAAATAAAAAAAATACAAAATTAAAGCGCACTCATTGCACGGGACCTTAACAAAAATACATTGCAGTAGTTGCAGTTGCAGTATAATCTATTTATTATTATTCATTACTTAAGATGTCACGTGGAACATGGTGTAATTGTTGCAGCTCCTTACAAACGTTGTGTAAAATAAAAAAACTTGGCGATTAAAAAGAGTGGCGGAGAGTTTATTGCCAGTTTTTCTCTTCCGTTCTACGCCCTTGATTTGAGAACTGGCAGTAAATGTAAATTTAGAAGCATTTAATGTATATTTCTTTTTTGGCGTTTATTGGGTACAACGTACATACACAATCTATATTAATAAATTATTTTTGACTTTGACTTTTTCAAAAATTTATTATCACGTGACTAGACCTAGACTAGACTAAAGTCTAATACTATTTTAAAATTAATCACTGTAATGTGAAGTTTATGAAGTATTCTTGTGGCTTGATTTGACCGTGATGTTTGACAGCTGAAATGACAGGTTAATTTCATTTAACATTAATCCAAAATATGTATTATATCCATAATATATATTATATACACAAATCATTACAATGTGTAAGAAGCAGCTATATCTAGTAAATAAAAGTTTGCGTGAAATTATTGTTAGATAGTGTTACTAGAATATAAAATATATTCATGACTTCCAGTTGTCCAAACGCTAGTCAACTGGCAACGTGCCAATTTGAAAATTATGTTTTTGTCTATGCCCATTTCTAATCGACATCTATTCCATAAATTTGAGCTCTATGGACTTTCAGCTAATTTCAATAAGCATAAAATATGTAAGAGTATAATAATAAAGTATTGTATGTTTAATATATTAATAAAGTAGGTATTTAAAGCCACAGAGACGTCGAATGAAAGCGGGTGTTCTGAATTTGATTTCAGCTGAACACTGATTTCGGCACATTCGTTTTTATAGGTATAATTTGTAGGACTAGTAGGAACTTTTATTGTTTTTTAAATAAAATTACATTTTCATCTATAAATTAATTGTTTCCATAAAGAGTATAAAAACTAAATAAAAATACAACAGTTAAACGTTGAAAACCTTTTACAAACAGGTATTTATATCTAATGCCAGAAAATACATGCGAGTATATCTGAAATTATTCCATAGCAAAAAACGTAAAAAATATCATATGTCATAGCTACCGTATAACGGTTATGCAACAATTTGAATGCAACGTTCGTCGGCCATTTCGCAACGCAATTAAATGTTGCCATCAGAATGAAACTTTGAAATAAGCTCTCTCAATTCTTTCGTGGAAATGTCCTTTGTCTAAAGGAAATAGATTTGGTCATTTCCAACAATAGAATTTTAAGCCATAGTGCAGCACTTGCCTCATAATTGCACTTGCTTGTATCGAACGACAGTTTCGCGGAAATTTCGAAGGAAAGGCTAAATTAGTCTGCAACAAGCTTGGTGTGCTCGGCAAAGCAAGACAGTACTTCACTCCAAGCCATCGCTTGCAACTGTATAAAGCATAAATTCGGCCCCACATGGAGTACTGTTATCACCTCTGGGCCGGTGCTCCCCATTACTAGCTCCTTCCACTTGACCGTATGAAGAGCGGTTCGAATCGTCGACGACGAATTCTGTTGCTCCACTGGGCGTTATTTAAGTCAGTTTTGCGCACCACCGATATGTGGATCCAGCTGAAACAATTCGACATAGGGTCCTTCAAGAAAAGAGTACCAGTTGTGGCATCGCACTCGCGAGCTCTCTGGCATGTCCATGAGCGTCAACATCACTTAACATCAGATGAGCCTGCTGCCTGTTTACTGCTCTAAAATATTTTTTTTAAATAAATCTAATGTCCTTCAAAATGAGATTTTAATTTCAAGAAAATTATTCGTATATAAATAACGAATATTTTCTATATATATTCGTATAATAGGTACAAAAATAATTCCACAAAATAGCTACTGTTTTTAAATACTGCCCTAAAGGCTACGTTATTAAAAAGATACGAATTAATAGCATATATTACGGTATAGAATCGTCATTTTAGTGTAAATTTACAACGCGGTATTTATTTAACTTCAAAAGATTTCAATTGTTCGCCCTAAGGTTTTAAAAGCTAGCACAACAAAGAAACAGTAGGACAAAACCATATATGGTATAACTTTTAAAATTACATAACAGAATCTCTTCATTTATACGCGGCCGTAGTCTTTAAACAAGTTCGAATAATAATGCTTCTTATATTTTAGTAAAGGTTTTACTAAACTAAAAAATCACGTAGCGCTTATATTAAGATTACGATAATACAACCTAGAGAGGCTTATAATACCCTATAATAATAGCCTTATCATTTAGCGAGAGGGTGATACCCACCCCCAGGACCGCTCTTCCTAGAATACCAGTCTGCGCGGGAACTCTATACAGCATAGACGTATCGGGCGTTCTCAGAGTTTCAAAACTTCACGCGAACTATGACTTTTAATAAATTTAGAACTGTGTGAACAATGTGTTTTGATAAGAATGTATGTGTATCATGTTAACGGAATGATTGGTTAGTATTTAGAAATTTATTTATTCATAAAAAAAATTATATGATAATAAATGCATTATAAAAATGAGGGTCATTAGAATCACAGTAATCTATTACTTTTTATTCTAGAAAATTTGCCATCATTCTTTAGTAAAAATTGGTTTTAATAAAGGTTTAATTAAAAAAAAACTAATCGTTACTTCAAAGCCCACACATTACCTTCTAAAATTTATTTTATAAAGTAAAAAATTGAACAACAACAACAAATTTAACAAAATTAACGGAAGGAAACCAAATGATCAAAAATAAATAACTTAAAAATTAATCTGTAAGTTATAAAATTACATAAAATATTCTTTATTTACGAGGTTATGATAAAATGTATTTTCAATCAATTAAAATAGAATTGTGAATCGAGCAATGCCTTTTGACTACTCCTAGAATTGTATATTTATTATTATGTTTGTAAACGAAACTTCTGTTCAAGGTTCTTCGATTAATAATTAATTCTTCTGTCAACTGTTCCTTAAAAATCAAACGTCGCTATTACGACTGGTTTTTCTAATATGGAACAGCCGTCAACCATGTGTTTATATCTATCTATGTGTAGTAACTATATACGAGTATATATACATGATACACAAAAGCTTCAGTCATATAGGTATATAAAACTACAAAATATATTTTTGTCCCAAAATGCCTTGCCAAAAATAAATAATTAGATAATATTCATTTTCTATCTAATGAGACTTTATAGCGGAATTCTAAAATTAAATAATTAATTCAAAACATTTAATTAAAAATAATGTTAAAACAACTCACATACTTTTCTTTTGATATATTTCCTTTACATTAAATCACAAATTTGGACGTTAAATAATTATGTTTGGACACGAAAATGTTAATTTATCTTTTATGTTCGCTCAAATAACGTTAAGTGTGATGTATAAAAATATCTCATTAATTCTTTTTTGGTTTTGAGTTTCAGCAGCGGAATACGAAATTAGTTCATTTCAGTTTAAGTATCGGTGTTGTTAAAACTCAGTTTAATGTTACCGGCTAGTTTCAACCGTTTCTATTTAAATATACATATTTAAATGTACATATTTGAATCTGTATAATTAATGGATTTAATTAGTGGATTGACAAAAGCCTTAAAGCGTTCGTCTTCGATAGGCAACGGATTATCAGATCAAAAACACTCTCTTGAATTGTTAACTAGTGTTGTTAACTTCCGGTAACAAAAGTGGGGGTCCTAAAAGCACTAGATTGGCTCGGTTATTTCTATGTAATTTAAATCTAGCGCTTAAAAACACCTTAAATTTTGTAGTACTACTGAAAAGCCAAAAAATCCCAATCAGGAACCCAAAAGAAAAAGCGCTTTGCGCTTATTACTTCATTGTTACTCAAACGAATTCATAATTAGATCAGTAAGATAATCGAAGCACTCGTAAATGGCATTTTCTATACAGGTTTTAATATGTCACAATATTGTCTACATTAGGTATATAATATATTTTAAGTCCTAATAAATTTATGAAAACTGAGTTTATTTTCAGTAATAATACAGTAATTTGAGAGTGTGTAAACATTTGTTTACGTGGTGCGTGTACATAATAACATAAAATCTGTAACGTATTTATCAAAATTGCGGAAAAAAATACGGTGAAGAAGCTATATAACTTTCAAAGGACAGAAAATTAACAACTCTATATGAACCGCTATTTGTTATCTTAAAATCTCATACGAATAATACACACATACACATTATATATAACATGGAAATTACATAGTTTAAATAAATAACTGAAGAGGGTATAATTAAGAACTGATTTAAATTTAAAAAAATTAATATTGATTAAAAAAATATATTTTTTTTAGTAAGCCGTTCTTGTAAGATAACCGTCAAATGCCGTTCTATTTTAATAGGAAAAGGTTTTAATTACCTTAAAAGTTAATTTATTTTATAATTAAAATATATTGTTTCCAGATCCGAAAATAAAACTGTTTAAGTTTTGTCTAATAAATTAAAATATACAAGGTCCTCGATGACAAATTGTGCTTTTAGAGTTATTTTTTTCATTATTAAATCTTAATAAGATGTTAACAAACCCTGTTACATTCTTTGTAGGAGTATAATAGTAATTTTGTTTACGCAGAATATTAATTTTGTATTTCAAACTTAAAAGCACGTTGTAATTAAAATACTTGTACAAATTTCCACTCCATCACCTATTCAAGTTACCCTAAGACAAACACAAGCTTCAGTTCATATAATTGCTAACTGTTCGTATTTAGGTAGACTAAATCTAATTCTTTTTAAAATGGTCTTTAATAATATCACCTGACAGGTCTTTAAAAATGATATTTAATAGTAATTATCTTAGTTAAATAAATTTCTTTTGTTTGGCATTATACAAAATATAATAATAAAAGGCCAGAAAGGAAAGAGTTTCTCATTAATTGATGCAATATCAATTTCAATTAAAGTAATATGTCGCTATTGATTGTTATATTATTTAAGGAATACTTCATTTTATGGACTAAAGTGCTTAGATGGTGAAGTTGTTAATTTGCAGAGATTACAATGTTTGGGAGATAACAATAAACGTAATTAATAGCTTATTTTATGACATTAGTATTATTCATATGCAACAGAAAATGGTAAAATGGTAATTAAGTGACAACACTATTTTGCCATGCTTACACCAGTCAAGTACAATCCATATAATCAATGCATGATAAGTGTAAGAATTGAGACTCAATCAATACTATTTCAATGATATAATTTCAGGGCAATGGGTGATTGTGGTGGCATTAGCAATAGGCCTGGCCGCTAGTACTGACAAGCGGCCACACTTTACCACAGAGCCACCCCCTCGGGTGCTGTGGCCGGCCACAAGGGGCGCCCATGCGGTATGCAGGGCGAGTGGCCATCCAACACCAGACATTCATTGGGTAACCGCTGAGGGACAGGTCATTACTACGATACCGGGATTAAGGTGAGGATTTTGTACTTCAAATTCTTTTAAAATACTAGCTATCCCTGCGAACTTCGTTTCTCCTTAATGTGATTTTACTTATACTACCTTTTTAGTACATACCAACATGGAACATTTTGCTATACTACCCCAGAGACTGTTCGGTTTTCCGGAATGAAAACTTTTTAGGGTTTTCTGTGATTTTTCTCTATATAACATCAGAGTTCAAGTCACAAGTTTTTAATTAACAAAAAAATAGTGGTTGTTCGTAAAGGGATGAAAATTAAGGGTTGTATGTATTTTTTGATCATTGTTTATATTGATGATTTACCGAAGGTATGCCGAAGGCTAGCTTGTTATAGAAGGAGATGAATGGTAGGCCTATGTCGCTGTGCAGCCTGATGAATTGACGGTTTTTATTTGTTAAAATACACCACAAACATTCGTATTTGTATGTCGTATGTCTTATTGTTATTAATTTCTCATTGTCTTCATACAGTATCTAGCCGATCAGTACTGCATATAATTCTACGGTTTATAATAATTGGTATTTTATTTATAAAGCCGAGTTAACCTAGGTTACTGGTACTTTTTTCAACCCTGAAGTCGTGTATTTGCACCATGACTCTATCAATGAATTATCTTTCAATACTAACACTTGATCTTGTGATGAATAAAATTATTGAATGAAAGAGCTTCATAAGAACTTATTCAAATGATAAAACGGTCGTTGCAATATGAAGCTTAAGCTTTAAAAAATTATATATGCATTTTTACCTCTTAGGTAAACTGAAAAAATCATAAAAATATTTAGTTTCTATTTCTCTATTGCCATTTAAAGAGACCAGATCATGTCAGATGTTGGTTAACTATTACCTTGAAGACATCATCGAGTGTATAGAACACCTATTCCATCAACTGTGGTTATTCTTCCTAAGTTAAATACCAGACAATCCAAAGTTAGATAGAGTTTCCCAAGATCAGGTAATTCAAAGGAACTATGGACAAGTCTAGCATAGTTAACATTCAATTCTGTCGAATCAGAAACTTGATGGTATTTAATTTGAAAATGTAACTCAAATATTCAGTAAGTTATTGGAGGGAAAACTCTGGCTTAGAAAATTATTCTATCAATATTTGAAGTCCCAAAACATCCCAGCACGGCAAAATTCAGACTCGTTTTTGTATCTTTCTATATTGTTTTTAATTGGTCATAAACGCTGTGCCCACAAGATCTGAAATAATTGTTTTAGTTATATTACATAGTAACCCAATCTAACCTATTCAAGGGAAACGGTAGGAGAACACCAGTCATGGGGACCACCATGCTGTTTTGGTGGTTATGCCATTACGTTGTAGCTTATGTGAAACGTTGGTACTTTCAACACAGCGCCATCTGTTTGAATTGTGACTATCAAATAATAAACAAATATTTTGCAATAAAATAATATTGCGGGTATAAATTGAGATATAAGCTATCCTATCTTTTAAGTTGGATCAAACTACACACGGTGTGCAAATTTGATTGATATCGGTTCGGTAGTTTAAGAGTCCATAGCGGACAAACAACGTGACACGTAATTTATATTTTTTCAAATTTTTCAAAGCCTTTATTTCTACTAATACAAGAGTAAACAAAAAGTTAAAAGTTAAAATAAAAAAAGTTCTTTAAGATGGTTTTGTTGCACAGCTGTCCTCTTGTACAGCTTGCCTTTATGGCACAAAGGCCTCCTCCAGCTGTTTCCAGTGCTTGCTATCCCTGGCAAGTCTTTGCCACAGAGGACCAGAGGCTTTTTTAAAGTCATCAGCCCACCGCGCACATGGTCTTCCTCTCTTTCGCTTGGTGTTGTAGCGAGGTGTCCATTGGGTGACTTTTTTCGACCATTTCGCTCTCTGGCCTCTGAGCAGGTGTCCTGTCCATTTCCATTTAAGCCTTTTGCGTAATTTATATACATTAAGATAATTCTCATGTCACAATGTTCGTTCCCATACTCCTCCGAAACAGCTCGATCGATTCTTATGAATTTTTTTATGCATATTCAGTAAGTCTGAGAATCGGCTACTATCTATATGTCAAACCACTAAGTGATAAGGGATGTGCACCCCAAAAAATTTTTTTTTATTTTTTTAACCTAATTTTTTAGTTTTTATTTTTTTATGATACAGCATACAAAAATACATACAAGCCTTAATTTTCACCCCTCTACAATCAACTCCTACTTTTTATTATTGTAGATGGTTATTTTAAAATATTTTTATTTTTAGAAATAATATACATGGCAAACAAACGATTGCCGGGTAAACTAGTATTTTATAAAATAATGAGAGAAAATTTGTAACAGCAGTTCACCCATTTCTCCGCTAAAGTTTTACTTCATTTTCGTTGGTCAATTAGATTTTGAAACTTCCGTAACTATGCTAATATTTGGCAACTTTTGGTAGTGTTTTATTTTAAATGTAAAACTGTGTACATTTCGCTATTAGTCTCAATTTAGGATAAACTTGAAAATAAAAATCAAAATAAATGGTTGATAATAAAATAATAATATTGTGAGGAACCTCAAAATGTTATTTTTGTTAAAAGTGCATGTTCCGCGATTTCGAATTGCAACACTGTACCAAGGGCTTGATTTGAAGTAAAACTAACTTGAAATCTAGTTTAGTATTTTTTTGACAGAATATAAAATATTTTATGATAATATGCTATTCTTATATTTGTATAGCGCAATTTGAATTTGAATTAAATATGGCGCAAACTGATGTCTTCGTCTATTTAATTGGTAAATTCTAGCCCTTCCATGTACGAAGATGCTAAGATCTTTTTGAGTACGTTTTAGATTAGGATGTTCTTTTGATCACAGTCAAACTTCGCAGGATTTATTCAGTGTCCAACTCTCCGGTGTGTCGCAAAATGATCTTCATCTATGGTTTATCAAAGTCATCTAATCGCAAACAACTAATTCGGCTCCTCATATAGCTAATAAATTGGGCTAGTTTCCAATTTCCAATAGTGGTCAGAAGTTGGGACGTGTCCGAACGTGTGTGAGCTTCCAAACTTTACCCCACTATATGAAGCTTCAATTAGCAACGCTTACTTTGGCAACCTATTTAGACGATACCTCTGTTTATGGATAGAAGTTAAAATTCTCTATACATATACTATTTCATCCAATTTACTTATTTAATATGCTAATCATGTTGCGCTGCAATAAAGCTGGTAACAGTTTTGAATTTAATTATTAACAATCGATTAATTTAAAAAAAACTATTTTTTAAAGTGAATGTCACATCTCTTATAAATAGAAAAGTAGAAAATGGCGAATTGTTTACAAATTTCAATACATTGAAAAAACCTTTTTTTTTTTTAAATACTTAGACACGTTTCCGGCAGCAAAAATCACTTGGAGGTGTTGATGAATGAAGGTCCCCCGAGACTCCTGCATAATCAGTATCATCAAATTCGTGCGACGACATTAAATAAAATAATAATAATAAAAAATAAAACCCAAACCATATAGCTTAAGTTTAGGCGGTTGTATTATGTTATGTTTAAAGATTGATGTACCTAACGTTTTTATACTTTTTAGAGAATTCTGCATCTTACTTAATGGAACTACACTGCACTGTAACTTTATGTATTATACACTTACTAAAACAAGCAAAGTCTAAACCAAAAGAATTAGAACCTTGAAATTTTCTGTTAAAGTAAATTATAGTTACATACTATGTAAATGCCAGTCTTTAGTAAAACTATCCAAAGTATCCGAAAAAACTTGATTTACAGTGCGAGTAATTGTGTATGACGCACATGCAAGAAACTTTGGTTCTGATTTACCATTATGGATTTTTTATGTACGTTTCTTGCCAATTAATGTAAAAAAAACAATCGAGCATAAAAGTTGTGAGTCCATAGCGTTTACGAATATATTTACAAAGTTTCTCGCTGACGTTGTTTCGATGCGTCGGTACGTGCTAAAGTTTCGACTTGAAAGGCGTAATATTGAAACGGTCACAATTTACCTAACTTTCTTTGTCGCTTTGTTATTTAGTATTGGGAATATACTGTTAGTTGTATTTTATGACTGTTATAAGGACTGAATTAGTCATTTATTTATCGAATATTCATTACATACCGATATCACCTGAATAGAACCAGTGCTGATGTACCTACGTTGACTAAGTACCGTAAGTTCAATATGATATTTTATGTTTAAATAAATTTTTATTCTCGTATTTATTCAAACCAGCCAAGCATATACATAAGTAGAATTCATAAATTAAAAAGAAGATTTATCGCAATGGAACAGCAAGGTATTTTTAAAAGCGATAAATTAAAGGTAGCCTGTTTGCAAAATAAGCAAAACATTTCCATTATTCTATGATTAACTTTACAAGTTAAACAAAAACACAAGTAGATATTTCATTACACTTAGAATGAGTCGAAGAATCGACTTCAATCTGTATGAACGTTTTGCGAATTACGTATTTAACACGGCGGAAGTGTCGCGTCTCTAGTTGACAGTTGACAATTGACATTTAGAACAGTGGCGGGAATAATAAGGCATGTTCCTTACTTCCTTATTAAAACAGAAGTTTGTGACTAATAAAACCTTTATTTAACAGTAAGTGATAACACCAAAAATTATACGAACAAATAGATAAAACTGAAACGAAATTATATGCCGCATTCCTTCATTGCGAAATGGTCATACAAAATTGTTCAGTCTTGGATTTGATAGGAAGATAGCAATAAAAACTCTTGACACGTATAATACGTGATTCGTATAACGATTTGGAAATAATTTTTCAATTTGGGATTTGTAAAGACTATATAATCTAGTAGATACTTAAATCACTTTGTATATAGCAAAATTATACAAATTATTGAAGTGAAACTTCAATAATATTAGCTATTTCATTTCATTTCATTTCATTTCACGAAGATGTGCAGCGTTTTTTTCGAAGAAAAGTGAGAGAGCTACTGAGACCGATTGAGAGAAAATGTGAAAGGGCGAACGTAG